TCAACACGTATATCCCAAACCCTCGGAACCCGCCCTCTTCGTCTTCGATCGTACCCCCCTAGAGGGTAGATCGTCCTTGCCTGCCACACGCATGTAGCGCAGCCCCTGAGACAGGGACGTATGTTTTGACAGGCGAACTGAACCCAAGCCTCAACTCAGGTTAACGATGAAGAACAGACTGATACCCGTCCTTGCGGGTTAGTTTCAACTTCCTGAAGATTGCTCGCCTGGTGCGCGAACACTACGCAAACAATTCCAGGCGTGATTCCTAAGTGTTGAGGGCGCGGCGTCTGAATAAATTGCGAAACAAGTCCGACGCGAGAGCGCGATTCCTGCATAAATTGTGAGACCCCGCGCGAGAAAGCGACTTGGGACTAACTTGTGAGGAGGAATCAAGCGGGAACCGTTGTTGTTGTACACGAGATGCCAGGGGCGCAGTTTGGCGACACCTCGCTTTCCCTGGTAGAAAATCGGGGTGCGAGCCCCGGGTGAGGCACTTTGATAAACAAGCAATGGATACCAGGGAGGGGGGATCAATGACAATTATCCCAGTGCGACCCTACCTAGGAGTTGGAGCCCCTAGGAAAACAGCATTAGTAGTAACAGTAAAGCTAAGCTAAAGCTAAGCTAAAGCTAAGCTACAGCTAAGCTAAAACTAAGCTAAGCTAAAGCTAAGCTAACGCTGAGCTGAAGCTAAAGCTAAGCTAAAGCTAAGCTAAAGCTAAGCTGAAGCTAAAGCTAAAGCTAAAGCTAAAGCTAAGCTAAAGCTAAGCTAAAGCTTAAGCTAAGCTTAAGCTAAGGTACAGATGAGGTACAGCTAAGCTAAAGCTAAGCTAAAGCTAAGCTAAAGCTCAGCCTAAGGCTAAGGCTAAGGCTAAGGCTAAGGCTAAAGCTCCCAGGGGACTGGGGGAACCGCGGGGCGGATACTGGGGGAACCGCCCGGGGCGGGCCCCACTGCCCGGCCCTTTAAGCTTACCGAGTAAGAACCCTTTTAGGCAGAGCCTTTGTAGGGAATTATTCTTTAGAGGTGATAACTCAAAACATCCGCAACAACGACAGCAACAGCAACAACACCAGCAACGGCAACGGGAACAGCAACAACATCAGCAACAACAGCAGCAGCACCAGCAGCAACAACACGAAACACAACAAAAACAAGGACAACAACAACCACAAGTCAACAACAACAACAACAACAACAACAACAACAACAACAACACCAACACCAACACCAACACCAACACCAACAACAACAACAACAACAACAACAACAACAACAACAACAACGACGACGACGACGACGACGACGACGACGACAACAACAACAACAACACAACAACAACACAACAACAATAACAATATCAATAACAACACCAACACCAACAGCAGCAACAACACCAACAACAGCAGCAACATTTCTACCCTACTGCTCTATGATCCTGTACGCAGCATGCATCTATCGTGATATTCTTCCACTCATGGAGCATGGAGATGTTCTTGCACAAGGGGGTCCGATATTCCGAAACCCCGATCTGCCGACCGAGCAACACCTCTTCCGAGGCACTTTAACATCTCCAACCAAGATGGCACGCCGTCTTGGCAATCGCCCTGCCCACGCCTCGCTTCTAGTCTAGGTATCACCATGCCGAGGTGGCCGAAAACAGCTGGGAGAAGCCCCACAACCACTGTGAGAGCCCCCGAAGCCCCTTGGAGAGCCTCCGGAGCTCCTTGAAGAGCCCCCGGAGTCTATCATAGAAGCTTCAGAGCCCCTATGAGAACCCTAGGGCCCTTGGGAGACGCTTCAAAAAAAGCTGGAGGGCTTCTGGGCCTCTTGAAGGAGGCCTCAGGGCATTTTTAAAAGAAAGGCCTGGATCAGAGGAGCTTCTGGGCCTCTGGGAGAGGAGGAAGCAGAGGAGGGAACAGAAGGATGAGGAGGGAGGGAAGACAAGGGAGGAGGAGGAGGAGGAGGAGGAGGAGGAGGAGGAGGAGGAGGAGGAGGAGCGGGAGGAGGAGGAGGAGGAGGAGGAGGAGGAGAAGGCGGAGGGGGAGGAAGCAGAGAGGGAGAAGGAGGAGGAGGAGGAGGACGACGACGACGACGCAACGACGACGACGACGACGAGGACGAGGACGAGGACGAGGACGGGGACGACGACGACGCCGACGCCGCCGACGACGACGACGGCGACGACGACGCCGACGCCGACGTCGACGCCGACGCCGACGCCGACGCCGACGACGACGACGAGAGAGGAGGGAGGAGGAGGCGGAGGAGGAGGTGGAAAGGGAGTGGGGAGGAGACAAGGAGGAGGAGCAGGAGGAGGAGGAGGAGGAGGAGGGGGAGGGATGACAAGAGAGGAGGAGGACGAGGAGGGGAATGAGGACGACGACGACGACGACGCAACGGCGATGACGACGACGAGAGAGGAGGAGGAGAAGGGGGTCAAAAAGGAGGGGGGAGGAGACGTTGAGGAGAATGAGGAGGAGGAGGAACAGGAGGAGGAGAAGGGAAAAGAAGAGAGGAGGTGAGGAGGAGGAGGAGGAGGAGGAGGAGGAGGAGGAGGACGTGGAAAGGGAGGGGGGAGAGGGGGGAGGAGACGAGGAGGAGGAGGAGGAGGAAGAGGAGGAGGAGGAGGAGGAGCAGGAGGAGGAAGAGGGAAGACAAGAGGGGTCGACGACGACGACGACGCCGCCGACGACGACAACGACGACGACGACAACGTCGTCGCCGCCGCGGGCTCCCGCGAGCCGAGGCGAGGCGCCAGGGCGCTCCAGCGGGGGGTACAGCCGCGGAGCTCTGCGGGAGCCCCCCGAGACGCCTGAGGGTGAGCCTCAGGTGGGAAGAATAAGGACATACCTATACGACCACCCTGCGGGTCATAAGGAGGTTGGGGGGGGTGGAGGGGCCGAGCAATCGGCAACAGTGGTGATTGTTTTCCTGACGATGCCAGTGGAGATTTTTTTCTCGGAGGCCTGCTGAGGCTCCTCTCCCTCCCTTTGTCGGGTTGCACATGGTGCCAATGCAATTGATGAGAACTGCTGCGACAGCGACGGCGGCGGCGTCCTGTCGGCGTATCCCTTTTTATGTAGACGGACCAACTCCAGGGGCCCAGACGCACCAGTTTTTCGATTCGCTTCCAGCCGCGGCGGCGAGCAGGGCCTCCGAGGGCCAGGAAACCTCGACCTAACCTCGGCGCCAATCTCAAAACGGGACCGGGACCCCTCCCAGGGGCCCGCGCCGGCGTCCTGTCGGCGTATCTCTTTTTATGTCGACGGCCCAACTCCAGGGGCCGAGACGCACCAGTTTTTCGATTCGCTTCCAGCCGCGGCGGCGAGCAGGGCCTCCGAGGGCCAGGAAACCTCGACCTAACCTCGGCGCCAACCTCAAAACGGAACCGGAACCCCTCCCAGGGGCCCGCGCCGGCGTCCTGTCGGCGTATCCCATTTTATGTAGGCGGCCGAACTCCACGGCCCCAGACGTTGTTTTTCGATTCGCTTCCAGCCGCGGCGGCGAGCCCGCGCGGCCGCCCGAAGGAACGGGGCGCGCTCGGAGAGAGCGGCTGGCAAAGCCTAGCCTGTACTGGTGGGTGCACGGGGCCTCGCCCGCACGCACGGCACGCACGAACACGAAACCGAAATCGATTTCCCGGTAGGGGGGCTCTCCGTTCCACTTCGATCTCACCCCCCAACCTCCGATCACAATCGATCTCACAATCGACGTCGTCATCATCATCATCATCATCATCATCATCATCATCATCATCATCATCATCATCATCATCATCATCATCATCATCATCATCATCATCATCATCATCATCATCATCATCATCATCATCATCATCATCATCATCATCATCATCATCATCATCATCATCATCATCATCATCATCATCATCATCATCATCGCCATCATCAACATCATCATCATCACCATCATCATCATCATCATCATCATCATCATCATCATAATCATCATCAACATCATCATCGGGACACCGACGGGACACCGACGGGACACCACCGGGACACCGGCGGGACACCGCGCGGCCCCGCGCCCCGGTGGAGAATCATTTGGTGCGGCCGCGCCTCAGCCACAGAGGACACCACCGGGACACCGGCGGGACACCGCGCGGCCCCGCGCCCCGGTGGAGAATCATTTGGTCCGGCCGCGCCTCAGCCACAGGAGACTTTCCTCTCGCCCGCCCACGCAGCTTCGCCTCGCCCGCACGCACGGCACGCACGAACACGAAACCGAAATCGATTTCCCGGTAGGGGGGCTCTCCGTTCCACTTCGATCTCACCCCCCAACCTCCGACTAATATTAGATGCCCTCCTTGGGGGCGTGCGTCCGACCCCAGCATCTAGTATACCCGTCTTGCAGTATATCGCTCCCCGAGCGGTGTGACCAGAACGCGCAAACCACGACGCCATGTACTATATGATTTCTCGGTGCGCGCGTCGCCCCTGGGGCCCACGTAGCATTGGTATGTTGGGGTGACGCCGGTCAGGGCCTCTGGGAATCTTGAATGCAAGCGGAGGCTGCTGTATCGAGCGGAGGCGTCGTTGTTTGCAGGGGGTGCCATCTACGATTGTGGATCTACTGACCCAGCTCACCCCAAACCCGTGTCAGTCAGGCCTTGCAGGATCCTGCAAGATCCCGTATGATCCTGCAGGATCCTGCACCCTAACCCGGGTGAATGCGCCCCTGCCCCTGCAGGATCCTCGAAGATCTGGCGCTCTGAATGACCCCCGTTTGCATTGACCCCCGTCTCTTGAGCCCCGATGCGACGCCCAGGCGGGATCACCGGCCCTGAGCAAAAAACAAGGCAGCATCGAGCAGGAGCGTCAGCTTGTCTTCTGGAAAGCCAGCCAGCCTTCGGCGGCGAGCAAGAGCCCGAGAAGAGAAGATCCAGCAAAACAAACAGAACAGACTCCCGTCGTGCGTCTCCAGAACACGACGGGCTCCGAGTCTCTGGCACGCTGGTTCTCGGGCGGCGTTCCTTGGCGGCGAAGTTGCCGAAGCACCGGCAGACCGCAATCACGAGCGGCGGGCGGTCGACGCACCTGTATTGGGGGGCATGCGCGTCTGTCGTCGCAGGCGTTCGGCAGCGCTGCTGTGTTGAAGAACGGGAGCAACATCGGCAGAAGGAGGGCAGGAGGCGGCATGGGGGCGATGAGGAAAGGGGAGGGGCTGGGATGTGCCACGGGAAGGGCGAGGAGGCGGGGGGAGGAAGAAGAGAAAGGAGAGGAGGAGGATGATGAAAGAGAATGCAAAAAAGGACCGGCAGGGGACAGAAAAGGCAGGTGAATGAGAGAGGGGGTGGAAGAGAAGAGAAGAGAAGAGAAGAGAAGAGACTTGGAAGGATGAAGGTGGCGTGAAAGGGGCAAGAGGAAGTACGCTGGGGGAGGAAGGTCACAAGCCCCCCTACGAGCCCCCCTCACCACCCACTGCCCTCAGATATTGTGTCCACCATGGCAAATCAAATGAGGATGTTATCTTATCGTGGCATGCCACGAACAACCATAACCATCGTGGTATGAACGATGATCTGGTGGCGGGGCAACCAATCTCATCATGGTGTGTATACTCCCTGCTGCTGCATACCCTCCCCCCTCTTCCCCCCTCCTCCTCCTCCTCCTTCTCCTCCTTCTCCTCCTCCTAATTATTCCTCCCCTGTTCCCCCTCCTCCTCCTGCTTCTGTCCCTCCTCCTCCTCCTCCGCTTCCTCCTTCTTCTCTCCGGCTAGCGAGACGTCCACGCCTTTTCAAGGTGTCCACCAGCTCCGTGATGCCGCCCCCCTGGGACAGGGTGCGGCGGTGCCGTGTTCGCTTCGCCTTTGTGCGGGCGAGAGAGATAGCTGGAAAAAACAACGCAAAGAGACAACAAAAAGAGAAGGGGTGAGGATAAGGAGGTCCTCTTCCTCCTCGGATGGACACCCTCGTCGCCTCGGCTGTGTCCGAGGGGTCAGAAGAAAAGAGGCGCATGGGCAAGGGAATAATAATCATAATGATGGTTGAGAAGCAGGAGGAGGACAAGCAGAGAAGAGGGAACGAACGGAAAGCACCCAGAGGTCCGCGAGACGAAAACACGAGAGGAGGGAACGAGAGAGATAGAGAGACAGAGAAAGACGAAGACAGGAAAGAGATGGACGCGCGGGGGGAGGGGCAGATGTCGAAGACGGGAGGAGAAGGAACTCTTCGGACAGGGCGGATAGAAGGGGAAGGACAGTGGGACCGGATGGGACGACATGGCATAGAGGCGACGGGCTGAGGGAGGTCCGACAGGTGACTTGCAACTACGACCGCGCCTTGGCAAACTCTTCCACCTCGGGGCAACCCTGGGGAACGCATCGAATCAGGTTGAATCGGCGTCTCGCTTCCAAGGGGCAGCGCTAGGGGAGCGGCTCCCAAAAGGTAGCAAAACTTGTGTTGGAAAGGACTAGCCGCACGCGACGGGGTGTCGCGCTGTATGGGCCCACCTTCGCAACGCGTGCTGTATGTATATATATATATATATATGTATATATATATATACACATATATATATATATATATATATATATATACTAGAACCACGCGCGCGCTTCGCGCGCGCTTAGGTTCTAGGGCGGCACAGGCAGAGCATTCGTTTGACAGAACAGGGGATGAGAGGAGTTGCACAGAGAATCCCACCAGCTCTCTGTGCGTAGGTGGTTAAGCGCGTTTCCTCCCTCCACCCTTCCCTCTACCCCTTCGGGGAGGGTACCTCTGCCCCTAACCATCTCCCCTGGACCTAAATGGGGTCCCCGCGAGCGGTCAGATCGTCGAAAACGGCTCAAAACGGCTTGCAAGAGGACTGTCCTCGGGCCCTCCTGGGGCTGTCTGGGCCGTCATGTGTGTCGCGTGGAGGCCTCGTTTGGGCCTCGTGGGGGCCTCTTGGGGCCTCTTGGAGGCCTTTGGGGGGCCTGTTGGGCCCCTCTTGGGGGCCTCTTGGGGCGTCTTGGGGGCTTCTTGGGTTCTCATGGGGGCATCTTCGGGCGGAGAGCTCGATTTGTCCGTTCGTGTTCCCTCTCTTGGGCCCCTCTTGGGCCCCTCTTGGGGCCTTCTTGGGGCACTCTTGGGCCGTCTTGGGCGGATCCGGGGCGGTCTTGGGGCTCTCTTGGGCCGTCTTGGGGCTCTCTTGGGGGCATCTTGGGCCGTCTTGGAGCAGTCTTGGGAGCCTCTCGGGCGGTCTTGGAGCCTCACAACGCGGAAACAGCGAGAAACCCAAAAACACGAAAAAACACATGAAAAAACAACGATTTCTGCCTCTCGGGGCCGTCTTGGGAGGCCTCTTGGAGGCCTCTGGGGACTCTTGGGGGCGTTTTTGGGTCGTCTGGAAGCCATCATGGGCGTCTTGGACCGATCTTTCGGCGACTCTGGGCCCTCTTGGACCGTCTTGGAACATTCTTGGGCCGTCTCGAGGGCCTCTTGGGCCGTCTTGGAGCCCCCGGGGGAGGGGCAACATATATATATATATATATATATTATATATATATATATATATATATATAATATATATATATATATTATATATATATATGCATACATGCATACATAATATTATATATATATATATATATATGTATATATGTATATATATATATATATATGTATATATATACATATATATATATGTAATATATATATACATAGAAGGACAGAGAGAGAGAGAAAGAGAGAGAGAGAGAGACAAAACGTGGAGTTTCACAAGGTCCATGCAGCCCTGACATGAAAAAGGTTCGTAAGGTTCTTACATGCCTGGACACCCGGTTTCCTGGGCGCTCCTCGGAATTTCAAGACATATCCCGGGAGTTTCCTGGGCTTCAAACGATCCAAGAAAGCCCCGGGAGGCAGCCCAGATGGTCCAAGAGGGCCCTAAGTCGCCCCATGATCGTTCCCACGTGCCCTACATGGCCCCAAGGCGGCCAAATAGGCCTTCGGAAACTTTTTGGGGGCCCGGAAGCACCCCCAAAAGGGCACCAGGTGGCAAACATCACTAATTCTTGTTCGTTGTTCCCCACCCGACAATTTGGGGTTGTTTTGGAGGGTGGAAGTGGGGGTCGGGCGCAAGGTCCCGGCAATGGTGTCTTTATGGGCCATGCGTGGGCGATTTATTTATTTGGACTCGGCTTGACTGCAAAGGCCGCCTCCCCGCACATCTCTTCAGTCCCCGCCGATGGAGCCTCACTCAACGCAGATACCTGTAGCACACATTACGTCTGAAAATTTGGATTTCGAGCTGAGAGAGATCGCCTGATCCCTGCAAGGCGGCGAACACAGCAAGCGCCAGCCGGAGCCCGGACACTTCGGGCGATACATCCTCGATTGCTGTGTTCGGCGGGGGAACCACTTGAAGCCCCCCACCTGCACCCACGCGCGAGACTTGAGGGTAAACGAAGCAAGGGGGCGGGGGGCTCGGGAAAGGCGACGAAGGCAACTTGCGCTGAAGGCGCAAAAACAAAAGGTCTGAATAAACGAGAGCGGTGAAGTGAGTGTCAAAATCTGCCGAGCCAAACTGACATGCGGAACACTGCGCCTCATATTGGGGGATCTTGAAGGCCAGGGCAACATGTAAATTCATATTGTGGGGAAAGCAAAGTGTGAATGTACATCTTGGGAGAAAAAGGAAAACGTGGATTCACAATTTCACAATTTTGAGGGGAAAAAAAGAAAATGTGAAATCACATGTTGGACTTGCGCGAAGGAGTCTTTATCATGGGGCCAGGATGTGAATTCACACTTGGGGGAAAAAGGAACAAGTGAATGCACAACGCTGAAAAATGTGAATTCACAAGTTGGGAGCATCGCGGGACTCATTCCACATCTGTTTGGGGGTCGAAAAATCACTGTTTGGGAACATACACGATCACCACTCGCACAATCCAGACACGCTTGCACCCAACTGTGCCGCCCCACGCGCAATACGCAAGAGTGCCCGCACGCATGGACGATAATGGATGCACGGCGCGTTTGCCCGCGCGGGCAACGCGCGGGCACGAACGACTGGCCGTCCATGACCGCCAACATTGGATGTCAATCGTACCCGATCACATACATGAGCGATACATTGAGCATACATGGGCCATTCAGCCCTCATTGAAGACCCCCTGATGAAGACCCCCTCTTTCACCCTCCAATTGTTAGATTTCAAGGACAAGCCCCCCAGCCAACCCCACGCATATCGCGGCCACCAAACCCAAAGTTGTCCCGAGTGTCCCCGATAGTCCCTGGGACTCCCGCCTCGCGCCCTCGAACAACACGACTGCATACCGCGGCCGCCACACCAAAAGTTGCCCCGAGAGTCCCAATAGTCCCTGGGACTCCCGCCTCGCGCCATCGACAAACACGACTGCATACCGCGGCCGCCAGACCCAAAATTGTCCCGAGAGTCCCCGAGTCCTTGGGGGTCCCGCCTCGCGCCTTCGACAAGCACGAATAACACAACAATACACAACATAACAGGACAGAACATACACGTCGGTAGGAAATTGCGAATTTAAAAAGACAATGGCAATCGCAACGTAATACAACAACACGAAGCACATCATGACTACCATTCCAGCACGTAACACGGCATAACACACCATAGTATAACAGAGCTGGGGAAATCAGAGCACTCATTAACATAATGTGTCAGATCGTGGCACAGCGCTCAGGACATGTCATGAACACCCACAGAGCATAGCGACGAACACGACAAAACACAACATGCCACACGATAGCCAATCATACCAAAACACGATCATTTCATGACAAAACAGAACATCATATGGCGCTATCATTACAAATCAGACCATGGAATAACATCGCCGATTATGCCCCATCAGATCATGACATACTCGCACAACACAGTAGAAATAGCACACCATAACATAACAAAACGTGACGTAGCATGACAGCACAAAGCATACCATGATACATCATTACACAACATAACATGGCTAAACAAACAGGACAGAACATGGCATATCAAATCATGAAACACTACATAATAATATTGCAGCACAAACACATACAACGTCATAGTATGGCGGAACAGACAATGAGAGAACACACCATAACATAACAAAGCCGAGCATAGCATAACACACCATGGCGGAACATAGCATGTCACGATGCAGCGTTCAGAACATGTCATAACACGCCACCACAGCATAGCGACAAACGCGACATAACCCAACACGTCACAATATAAGATTTCATAACAGACGGCGACCAAGACATACCATCAACAGTACCACTACAAACCACACAATGGCATAACATCACAACACATACCATAACATACCATGTCCGACATAGCCGGCGCACTGCGCAATCACAGGAAATGTCATGACATGGCATGACAAAACAATGAATACCATGAGAGGGCAGAGCACAACATAACGTCACATAGCCAACCAGAACCGAACGTCACATATTAGAAAACCACACAGCAACAGAGACCAAACCAAACCAGAACACAAGATAACATCACATAACAAACCAAAACCAAGCCAGACCCCGAGTTGTCCCGAGAATCCCCGAATCATTGCCGCCGCCCCGCTGCGGGCGGCCTCCTCGCCTGCGCCCCTCATTCTAAGGATGGGAAGGGGGGAAAAAGAGGAGGGGAAAGAGGCATCGGGCAGGAGGAGGAGGACAAGGGCCCAAGGTTTCGGTGGGGATCGCTCGAAGCATATTTGTGGTGGCATTCTCGCATGTTCTGGCATTCTCGCATGTTCGGCTTTCTGACGATCCAAGAGTGCTCAAGAGGCACCCAATATCGCCCCACACGGCCGAAGAGGCCTCGACAACACCAACAACAATGCAGTCAT